AAGTTAGCATAATTTATTTCCTTTTTATAATTGTTATAATCATAACTACTTGGGTAGAGTTCTTCAAATTCACAAGGATTACTTATTTCTTTGGAATTTTCGTATGTGTCTTATTTCATTCTTCACTTTGGTGTAAGCAGTAAGCATAGGTTTCCCAAAAAGGGCCATTGTGCCCCCTTTCACTACTGTTGTAGTTTTAATGTACGTATGAATATCTTGTTTTTGGATATCTATCTTTTTAAAGTTTGTGGGAAACATGTAATTTGTTTTTGTAACCGCCTTTTTAAATACAGATATATGTTGATTGTGGTTTGATCTGAAAAAAGCGGTCATACTATCTTTTAGGCGTCAGCGTGATCAAACACAATTAAAAAATAAAACTTTTGAATAAATTCATTTTTTTGTTTGTTTTTTATTGTGTAATTTTTATGCTTATTAGAATTTTCCTACTTTTAAGAGACGACTCACCTGAGATTTCTTTTAACCTGATGGACAGGACATGGAAATATTTCTTCGAGATATTCATCCTTAATTACTACATTTGTTTACATGCAAGGAAACTATCGGCCCATCTTAATGAAGCATGTTTGTCTACTCAAGTACCATCTTATGCCTTATAAATAATAACTGGAAGGGCTCCACGATAAACAGAAACAATTTAGAAGAAGGGTGTTCCCTCGAAAACATTAATCGAAAGTCAAAACAGTGTCAATGTTACTTAAATCACAACGATTTTTGATGTTTGAAAAGAATCTCATATTATTCTGCGATACTTTTGCAATTGGTAATAGAGATTTATTACATGCATGCTTACATTAATTGCATTTACATGAATGATTTTATGACAAAACATCACAACAGAAATGTGAAGTTTTATAAATAAATAAAATAAGTGTATTAAACAAAAGAGAAGTAAATCGGTGTGACTTTATTAATGCATGTTTAGAAAAAAAACAAAAATATTAAAAAACAAAAGAGAAAAGCTGTACAGCTATACACAAGTCTCGATAGAATATCGAATGTTGTACACAAATACAATTTATGGTTCTGTCAGGGTGATATATTGAATTAGCAATGTATCATACAGTATGTAAATTGAAATATATTTCCATACAATTTACTTATAAAGATTGACACGTCTAATGGTTTTTCTTTAGGATATTTGCATTCCTTATTCTGGTATTTTCTTGTCTAGTCAAAGCATAAACTACATATATTTTAACAGTGGAATTGACATGTTCTTAATGCTGCAAGCATAACACTTGACTGGCAAATTTCAATGATCATTGTTAAAGAAGTTTCGTTATGACCATGACTTTTAAATATAACCTTTACTAAGTTGCTAAATACCGCCGTTTCCAAATCTTATTTGTAAGTGTTTCCATAGTTTCAGTAATGATTACTAAATACATGCAACATTATTTCCTTTCTTGTATATTGTGATATACTTAGTATCTGGTTTTGTCAAATATAACATGTGTTCCATTTTCAATAGGAAGATCAGGATAAAAAAGTCAACACAAATAACTGAAAAAATGATGCTGAAGATTTTATTTTACTTAAAAGCTTTTGCTCCATGTACATTGAATAAAATGCATTAAACTTAGTTATTGAATAAATGAATACTATATGCATTCACTTAAAACCGTATTGGTGCCAATAATATAATAGGGTTGTTTTAACAATGATACTTCTATTGACAAAACGTGATTTACCAGAATATAATACTTCAATGGAATTATTTTCAAATATATCAAGAAAAACATGCAAGTCTTTAATTCAAGATGCGCCTAAATGATTGTGTTCTTATTTTGTGTATCTATTAAAGAAACGTTTATTCATCTTTCCAACATTAATCAAAAAAGGAAAATATAACTGGCTATTTATAAAGTCTTTGCACCAGAAGCTAGCATCTAAGACCATGATATGTTTGCAACACTCAAAAGACAGATACTTTTAAATTCAGGATTATCGGCAACTTTGTGTATATATTTTTAGAATTTACTCACTTTTATATGTACAACAAATATTTCCTGCCGAAAGCTTAGTGCAATTATCTTTTATAGCTGATGTAATAACATGTTTCAGTTTAAACATATATCTTTATATAATTTTGAAAACAATGGTATTTTCTGAAATAATTAATTTTATTAATTTCAAGAAATATTACCACTTTGGCTTGAATCGAAGTTCAAAAATTGTGTTTAGAAACATTAAACATTATTGGAGCAATTGATTCATGTAGTATCTCAACAATTTCTCTATTCTTTCTTGTGCAGAAACTACTTTATATCTTTAAAAAAAAAGTTAAATGTATTTGGCGCCTACTTTTCATTCACGTGACCCAATTGGAAGATACACTGAAAAATTGCCACGAAGATAAAGATGTTGGCTTGTTTTGTGTTAATATGTTAAGTACGGTACAATTGTTGGCAAATAATCATTACTTTACGTACAGTAGGCACAGTTTCAAGAGTTAAGATCCCCTTTCAAAATTCTATTTTACTTAGTTCTACCTATTGTTTTCTCGTTTAGGACACATGCATTCTTTTGCATGGGGACCATACAATCACTTTACTTGGAATGGCACTACTGTGTCGAATTGAAGATTCTTTAATAAACGCCGTATGAACACATCTGCAGATGTTTCTAAATTCAAAAGTTTACCATTTTCTTGTTTAAATCTTGAGGTCTGCTTAGGTCGGTGCTAGGGGGCGTGGACGGTAACTTGCACTTTCTAGTACCGTCTATGAACAGGTTTAATCAAACCGAGCCGGCTTTAATACAAAATTTTACTCATCAAATTTTAAGGTAAGCTCATTATATCTCACAAATAAATACTTTCCGATTTAGTCATGGCAATATCGAATACTATATTCCGACGATAAAATATGTGTCCGTGTAACGCTGACTAACAAAAAGCAAAGCCATTGTACCGATCTCAATTTCTAAGAGAAGTTAAAACAATCTACACTATATGCACAAAAACAGAAAAGAACTTGCTCGAAATTAGATATGTTTCATTCAAAGGTATTTTTTGTTTATTTTCAAAATAGAAATATTTGTACTCGCTCATATTTTTTTCTTTGAAGATACCATCTGGAGAATAATAAGGAAATTTTCCTTGAAAATAAACTGAATTAAAAACAGTTTTAGTATTTTCTTTACGTGGGACATGTGTGATTTTAGTCGTTTTAGGGGTTCTTTTAAATTAGTGTTTATATTTAATTTTAAAATCTATTGTCACATTTGCGTTGTTTATGCCGTGTGGATGCCGTTAAAAGTCGTCTTTTGAACAAATTCTGTTATATTTTAGATCTTCATTTTTGTGTTTATGTAAATTTTAATTGTGCCCGAACTTTAGGGAGGGGGATTTTTAGATTTACCCTTGTCCCTCCGTCCTTCCGTCCATCCATTCATCCGTCCGTCCGTTCTCATTTTTTGTCGCACGTAGCTTAAGTAAAGAAACTTTACAATAATATCGCTCAGCATGTGTATTGGTGCATATTGGTACTTTCGTGTTTATTTATTTAGTATTTGTAGAGTTATTGCACTTGACTTGGTAAAAATTTGCAATTTTCAATGTTTGTCGCACGTAGCTCAAAAAGTATTTGACCTTTACATGAATATTGCACAGCGTGTGTAGTTGTGCATCTTGTACTAGTAGACTTATTGCTCTTGAGTTAGTAAAAATTTGCAATATTTAACTTATGTCGCACGTAGCTCAAACCGTATTTGACCTTGATTCATAAAACTTTATACAGGAATGTTGCTCAGCATGTGTAGTTGTGCACCTGGGTATTTTCGTGTGGATTTATTTTGTTTTGTCAAATTTATTGTCCATGACGTACTTAAAATTTGAAATTTTCAACTTGTGTCACACATAACTTAAAAAGTATATGACATAGGGTCATGCACTTTTACAGGAATGCTGATCAGCATAAGAAGTTATGCACCTTTGGTTTTGCTTGTGGATTTCTTCTGTTTTGTCAGATTTATTTCCTATGACTTATTGAAAATTTACAATTTTCAGTTTGTGTCGTGAGTAGCTCATAAAGAATTTACCCAAGATTCATGAAACTTAACAGGAATGTTGGTCAGCATATGAAGTTGTTCACTTGGATTTCGCTTGTGGATTTATCCAGTGTTTTTAGAGTTATTACCTTTGACTTTGTAAAAAAGTGTTCCATTGTGTTGTGTTATTTGTTCCGTGAGTGTCAATCAATCAACTTTACAGGAAAAATGATCAACATCACTGTGAAATTATGCACCTGGGGTTTTGCATGTGGATTTTTTCAGTTTTGCTAGAGTTACTGCCCGTGACTTTGTATAAATTTGCAATTTTCAACTTGTTCATGCATAGCCTGTAGGCCTGAAAGTTTACAAGAATGTTGGTCAGCACGTGTACTTTTATGCACTTTTATGGGATTTGCGAGTTGATTATTCGATATCTGTAAAGTTCTTGCCCTTTACTTAGTAAATGATTTTTAGTTTTCAAATTGGGCACATGTAGCCCAAATAAATTGACATAGTCATAAAATTGACTTTAACAGTTGCGTGTGGGGGCACCCGTGTCCTATGGACACATTTCTAATTTTCTTCTGATTGGGCTTTGGTATAACTTGGAAAAAAAATGACGTCACGTTATGTAAAAGTTTGCACGCACGCACGCACGTACGTACGCACGCACGCACATACATACATACATGCATGCATGCATGCATGCATGCATGTTCATAAGATATTTCAGTGAAATTATATTTGATGTTGAAACTTTAATATTATAAAACAATTAACGGTATTTAACAATGTATTAATAATTATCTTTGTTTTTATTTTCAAGCGCGTACAGGTTAATCAATCTGTACAAATGATGTATTGTCCTTTGAAATAACAAAACCATTAAAAATTGGTATAAGTCTTGTGGCAACATTTCCAATTTCAAGGTGAAATGATTGTCTTGTGAAAAGGAAATGTCATAACGTAAAAAAATACATTGGTTCAATTCCAAGTTTTAATGTGATAAATCAGGTCATTATTTCCATAAGCTTTAATATTACATGTGTCTTCCTCGCCATTCCGCTCTAGATAATGACCTTTTTCGTCCCCATCCTGCAAAACGACGTATAGTCTCACGACTGATGTCACGTCTCCCAAATGAATTTATGTCCTTCAGAGAATGTTCTACAGCAGGTGTTGTCATCGTGTTTTCTTGCTTTACCGCTGAAATATTAGTACACTTGAAGATTTATTTACAGGCAGTTGGCACATAGACACAAGAAAAAAATCTTGGAAATGGAGTAATCCCTTTAAAGCATTAACAACAGCAAAATTATATAAAAACTGCAATCTCAGTTTGATTGAGTCCTCACGCCCCTCCGCAAGGACCGGCTTAATCAGTATTCAACGTTTTTAACTAACAAAAATGTTGGGGCAGTACCGCTTTCAGAAATAATTAACACAAAGTAGAAAAAATAAAACTGTAATCAATCTTCAACACAATGTGATGAAATCAATGATCTTGAAGTCCACTTCTTACATTCTACACACTAAACATTACCACGAAATTCATGCTACAAAACAATGTTGTCATCAAGTTATTTAGCATTTATTAAATCCATGGTTTGACTTACAATTGGCAAATTTTTAATGTTTTCATACGATAATTAAACTGATCATATTAATTTCATTTCGTTTCATTTTCACATATTTATTATTTGTTATAAAATATTTATAAGCATTGGATTTAACGACAATTTTAACGACAATTATGGTTAAATAATTCATAAAGCATGGCGCCGCAACATCTAGATATACAGGCAAATGGGAAAGACGCCTGGGGGGGGGGGCAACCTTTCGGTGGCACAAAGATGACATGTATGTGTTTTCGTTGCCACGAGTTACTAGGTTGTGGCCACGAGAAAGTTAAGTCGTGGGAACGAGATACTATGTCATGGCCACAAGTTACTAAATCGTGGCCACGAGATAATTTAATCGAGGCCACGAGATATTATGTCGTGGCCACGAGAAACTATGTCGTGACCACGAGTTACTAAGTCGTGGCCACGAGATAATTAAGTCGTGGGAACGAGATACTATGTCGTGGCCACAACATACTATATCGTGCGCACGAATTAAGTACTAGTATCTCGTGACCACAACTTAGGAACATGGGAATAGCTATTGAGACATGCAGTGAATTTAGGTTTTGTTTTAAACCAGAACAGCTAAGGAAATCCCAGAAACAAACATCAGAGAGGAGGCGGTATTTTGAATATATATTTAGGGCATTACAGGGAAGGCTTTTTTTATCGCATTAACACTGCAGCTTTTTTATCGGTTAAACGTACATTCAATTGTAGATTTAAAACCAGAAACGCAATAACAAAACAAATCATATGTTCAATTTTGGGTTATTCTTAAAAATTACAATTATAATTCTGGAAAAACTGAGTGTGGAAATAATTTGAAATTTTGCACATTATTGGATTAGCCCTTTTGACCAAAATCTTAATAGAACATTAATCTTGAGAAATTGCTTCCAGTCCTATCATATTATAAAACCTCAGTGGAGTCTTTTTAATGTCAAATCGGTATTTCCTATAAAAAAAGCATTGCAATATGATACATTTACATTATTGTAATTGGTAAACCGAGGTAAAAGGACCCCCCCATAAAAAAAAAACAAAAACAAACAAAAAAAAACAAAAAAAAAACAAACAAACAATTTCATAAGTCTCGATAGAGAAATTGCTTATATTATAATCAAACGAGTACGTTTAAGTCTAAGTATTTTGAATAGATAAATTACTATAATCGCTTTTGAAATAAATGATTATGGCAATACTCGGTCATCCAGACGCAAGGTTATATATGTTTCTATTTTCATAACCATCAAAATATCAATGCCTACAAATATATTTAGACAATGCACCAAGAGCAATACTAATGCATATGTGTACAATTAAAATATAAGTTAATAAAACAAGTTGGAATAAAAGAAGTCAAAATGGTAAATCTACTTACAAACAGATTCACCAGCAAGCAAAAGAAGAAGTAACAACGCAGTGGAAGTTTGAACCATCATATCTTCAGCTCATCCGAGAACACAATGCAGACTGCTACTATATAGCTGATTTTTGATATCCATTCTAATTATGATCCGCTGGAAATACCAATTAAAGTATATATGACATGATACAAAAAAACTATACATAATTAAATCTAACATTTAAATTTTATCACCACACATGCAATTTGAACGTAAAACTTTTATCTAATTTTGTCTATTTAATTACTGCAATGACATATTGAAAATATTTTCAATCTGTTAAATTGAATGGAAATCGTACGTGATGATGAAGCCATCTTTGTCGTCGCCATCATCATTTACATCATGATCATCACCAGTAGCTACATCATTAAAATTTCGATCCGGTTGAATCGCAATTCCTTTAAGTCTTTCTTTTTGTCGTATTCAATACTTATGTCCTAGGTTAATATGCCGTGCTTTGCATCGTTTGCTAAATGTATGAGTTTGAAAGGTCACACTAGTTACATGTAGTATTATTAAATAATAAATGCTTATTAATGTCGATAAATGATGGTATGATTATCGGTGTCAAACGATTGATATTTCTATTAAGTGTACCTTTAATAAAAGATTATATTTATTTCAATCACATAATATACTTTGATAATTTATTTGCATTAAGGCATTAAGTTAGCAGCAAATAATTATGAATATACCGTTGCAAGATATATGTTAACTATCATAGTAATTGTGTTCAAATTGTTTAAATTTTTATCTGATTTTTGCCCAATAGTAATGCTATATCGGAAAAGGCTACTCAATTTGCTGTTCCACTGAAACTCAGTTTGTTCACAGAAAACATAACGGACGCGAATGTTATATCAATATTATTAATCTATAATATAACTGACACGATACAGTGTGTTGTTTGAAAATGTTTGAAATATTTATGTCACTATGAAGAATAGAAGTGGATATTTAATGTACACTAACATGTATCATAATCAATCCTGAGAAATATTAAGGAAATAGCAGGGTTAAATATATAAATAAGAACCATTTAGGAAGTCAATTTTCGATCTTTTAATCAAAGTAATGTTTCCCGTCTTTTCCACATACTTTCATTTTATTTATTTCATCATAGATTCATATGAGGTGTTTTTATAACATCGACGTAGATGGTGAAAATCTTGACACATATCTATAGGAAACCACCTCCGTGGTCGAGGGGTTAGAGTCGATGACTTCTAATCAAGTTACTTCTCTGGCGTGGGTTCGATCCCCGGGAGATGCTTTGGTAGTTTAGTACGGAGGAAGGTAGTCTAGTACTGGTGTAACTCTCCAGGAACAATGGTTAGGAAACTACCCGTCTATATGACTAAAATACTGTTGGAAAAAGGCGTAATATAAAACAAACAAAAAACTTATCTATAGGAGCTCGCTTCTGATGTTTGTAATCATGAACGAAACGTGCGCCAATCATGTTAATATCATTTAGGGATCGTTCAACTTTAGATGGTAATGGCATCGTTTTTTTGCGTTTTGCTTGCGTTTTTCATTTGCTGAAATGGTATAGATATATTCACTCAATTAACGTGATAATAGTATGGTTACCAGGGTGTGATACTTCCAATATTTTCTAATCTTAGGCTTAAATTTTCAAACGCTTTCCATGGGAATCGTTTGCACTAATTACTTATTGAACTGCTTTGATGTTAATGATAGGAAAATAAATTTGATACTTTTTCAATATGTCTAAATGTTCGTAGAATAATCAAATTAGCAAATGTTTAATAAATATTGAATTAATTTACTTATAGAAATAATTTTGTTGGACCATTACACTCAAACAAAAAACATGACATTAAATAAATCATATAAAATCATCATAATCAAAATTGATTTTCATCTAAATAATTAATGGAAGCAAAAAGAAAAAAGAAGTTTACTTACAAACTGAAGAAAGAATTTGAAAGTCAATTTTCTTTTTAAACAACATACTTATATTATTTCACAATTATATGTATATTATAACTTCCTAATACACCAATATTTCGTTACATTGATTAATGTACTATTTTACTATAAAAATAAAGTAAATAAAACTTGATACACGTCACGCAATTTTACTGTATTTTATTGTAAATATCAACTTAGCCCATTTGTTATTTCTAAATTATTTTGATTTATGCCGAAGAACATTTTATATAGGACTGGTTCGTAAAAGAGTATTGCGTAGTTATTTTCTGCACACTAAAATATGGACAGGGCATAATTTGACGATTGACAGTCAAAATTTAGTCTTTTATATATTTTTCATCCTTATAAATATCGTCATAATCATCATAACATCATTATCATCAGCAGCAATCACCAACAGCAGCATCATAAACAACGTCCACATAGCAGTCGTCTTTTTGGCAGCATCTTTCAAGCGTTAAAGATCCTGTAACTCAATTTTGTGTGGTTCTATATCATAACTATGATGCTAAAATGAAGATTGATCAATATTTTAGTTCCAAAAAGCATTATTTGTAAAGATATTACCGAATTTACATTTCATGTAAATAAAGGGAGGTAACTAGCTATTCATTTTTCGTGTAAGCCAAATCTTTTTAATAAGAAATAAATGCATATATTTTAATAATTACAGTCAAACGTGTATTAAGCGACCGCGCAAGTGAAACACCAAATGGTCATTTAAAGAAACGGTCTCTTAAAACAAAGCATGAGAAGTAAGAAAAACAATAAACATGACAAACATATTTCTTCGGCAGCGGGGAAGTTTCAGCGTCATTTATAGTTATTCCAGACCAATGACATAAATCATCTTTCACTCTGTTGCTTTTTTAGACAGTAGTACTATTTTAGTGATTTAGTTTTTTGTAAGGAGGTAAAATACTGCTTTGTTAAAATTTTGCTTCTTTAACGACAAATGAATTCATATTCAGCGCTTTTTTCTGATCATTTGTGCTCTTGTTTGCAATTTTTAAAGAATGAAAAGATCTTTTTTCTGGGACATTATGTGCTTTTAAATCTTTGGTTTAATTTTACATCTCCTACCACTCTCATTTTATAATTTTCCAACCTTTGTAACAATCTTAGACAATGCGCTAATGCCTGAGTTATTTATGCAAACCATTGGGCTAATGTTTGAGCGTTAAAGTTTAGGTTGTGGCCACTGAAGAATGACATATTCTACATTTTCAAATGAAATAAGTAGTAGTTTGGGTAATTCATGAAAATATTTATAAATATTTTGATATAACTATCTACGGGTCACTTGGAATACTTCGACAGTACTAAATAATTATCTTATAAATGATATATTATTTAATTTTCGGTACCAAAGTAATGTGACATAGTTATGCAACTATGGCATGTATGCTTTTTGCAAAAAGCTGCCTATCTTTTGTTCATTTTAGCCATATAAATATAGTTTATTCCTGTGGAGTTGTGCATTGATAATTTTTATTTCAAGTTCTTTCAACATTATATCATCAAGTTGATATTTGTCCCTCATTTAAATATACACGAATTTATCAATTTGTAATTTCATAGTCCCCATTGATTTAGATCTTTTAGAATAAGGAAACTATAAGCATAAACGTTTTCGATATTATCCATATTACTTTATCACATTTTATGCATAATTTCACTTTGTTGGATTTTTTATATTTTATTTTTTTTTCTTAAGATGGACTACAGAAGTGATTAATAATCGTTTCTTGTAAGGTTTCAAAATTGGGAAAGTGTAGTTAATTTTAGAATGTTTCTTAAAACATAAAATATTATAAAATTGGCCAGGAAAAGAAAGATATTAAATAAGACATATTTTCAGATGCTGCTTTTCATTTCTTTATTCAAAGTTATTATGTTGTCTGTATTTTTACAAATAGTTCAATAAACTTTATTCTTGTCCTGATTTTGGTTTCCACGCCTGACGCGATGACAACTTGTATATCTGCCGTCTTTCTCTAGGAGTAGGAATGTTGACCCGAGTAATAGGAATAGGGACGTTACGTCTGCTGATCGATTGTGTTCTTAGGGAACGTTCCATGGGAGCAACTACTGGAAATCTTCCTGCTTGCGCTGATGCTGAAATCGCATAGAACAATAGTATTAACACAAAAACCGTGATTTAGTTTATACTTCTCAGGTTTCACTCTTTGTTCTGACTCGCCATTTTACTTAACGTTCTGGTACCGTTTATCTTGATTTCATACTGATCACAGTCAGCACGTGATAGCTACAACACTACCATGCCAGGTGCAATTAAAAAAAACAAATAAGCATAATAAAACGAGAAGGGTTCTTTCTAGATTTATTGAGTGTTCATTTTGTCAAATTGAGTGAAATGGAATCCCTAAATGTAAGCATACATATTATTATATTAGACTTTGGCTTATTTGTCCAGATAAACCAAAACTAATAAATCGAGAAAAAATGAAATATTCATCAGTTAATTAATTCCACTTGCAAATGTTAGATGATAAAACCTGTATGTTTAGATATAAATTTCAATAACATCACAAAATAAAGAAACATTACCACAAAATAATTTTCACCTATCCAAATTTATTTTACCAGAATTATGATGTGTAATAATCATTCAATGTGTAATAGAAATTTCTTGATAGTGTTAATTCTTACTCCAATACAAACATTAACAAACAGATTTAATACTCTCCGAATGGTGGAAACAATGATACACGATTTAAACTGTTGTAGGGTTGCAGTTCATTAAAAGTAAATAATTATTTATCAGTACATTTGAAGATACTATTCCATATGATATTTTAGGGCATATCTTACATATACAAATGTACTAATTCTAGCTTCAATAGAAAACCTTGAATTTCAATGTGAAACTACATTAGTGTCCCGTTAAGCCGTAAGCTTCTTATTTTAGTGTTAGTTCGATCAATAAACCGTCGTAATTCTTAAATATCACGTTATTCTTTAAATATACGAGACTATTAAGTTTTTATTGTCAATTATTCCCAAATGATAAAGAAAACAGAGCAAACAGTATTGGGCAGATGGGATCCCAGAGAGTAGACCAATGCAAATACAACAAAAAGAAGTCACATTTTCAAACACTCAATCTGACAGACATATGTCCTGAAAGACAAGCAAAATTAACAAAGTATATGAAATTTACTTACGAATAGAATCCATAGCAATGGAAACGAGAAGCAAAGCTGTTATCGTTATGAACATCATGTCCTTTGTTAATCTGCAATTGAAATGCCGACTGCCTAACAAATATCTAATTTATACTATTTAGATTAATTAATAAAATGGTCTGTTATAATGAATTGGAAACTTGTTGCGTGCTAAAAGCTAAAAACGCAATCTAAATTAAATTTCTATCAAATCAAGTGAACCTTATGGTTTCTTCCAACAACTGTTTTGCGAGTTTAGTAAAAAGAACAATATTTTGATAGGTTAGAATAGGATGGCACTTTGCTTGGATGGGATACTATGGATGGGAACGGATAGGATATGGATAGATAGTTGGATGCATGAATGGATGGACGGACGGACGGATAGGACAGGAAAGACATAGCAGAACAAGACAGGACATGGCAGGACAGAACAGAACAGGATAGAATAGAACAGACCAGAATAGATAGATAGGTACGTAAAATAACATTGCACAAGGTCCAAATTAAATACTTCCTTAATAAATGTCGGTTTAGAGCTGTTGAGAAACTAAAGTAAATTTAAGCGGAACGTTACGGAAGGAAAAAATTCATGACATCCGTATTAGTTTTCGCTGAATATTGTCACAGATAGGTAACCCTAAGTCAATGCCGTAGGGAAAGCTTACCATTAATTTTTACATGAATCATGACACCATGATTCGTATCTATATAAATACAGTACTGACACGCTATTTATGATATATCATAACGCTTTGGACTTGGACATTAATTATGTCCCGATTAAATAATCTATTTTTGATAGCTAAGTATAAAAAATTAAGCTCTAAGTATGAGCTTTAAAGTTTCAGACAATTCTGTAAGTTTAGAAAACCGACGCAACATTGACAAAATGGTTAAACAGTCGTCACACGAAATTGCCTTTCAATTAGTCATAAATTGGCACAGACGATTGATAATCAAACCATGATTTTTTCTATCAAGTATGTATATGAAATAAGTTAATTTAAAACAATATGTTTATTTTGGTTTTTATTTTCCGAATCAGTTCAAACAGAAGAAGCACAATTATAGAAGCCATACGTTTTGTTGAATTGTCTATGCGTTTCGTAGAATCTTGCAAGTTTTCAAAGCATTGTAGCCAACACAAATCATATTGAATACTTTTTCAGTGAAATAGGCGAAGCTGTTTACTATATAATTGTTCTTTAGATACTTTAAATGGTATAACAATGTTTATTTTTCCTTTATCCATAAGAATACAGGATGTTTCTATTAACGAAGAAAATATAGGCTACACGTGTTCTTATTATTTAATAAGGGGCCTGGTGCCTTTAGCCTTATCGACAAAATATAAAGAGCGACTATAAAATAGAGTAAAACAGAATCCCTAAAGAAAGTCGTCACGTCAAAATTGTAAATGTAGCAGGCTCGGTTTCATTGAGCCTGTTCATGGACGGTACTGGATAGTGCACGTAACCGTCCACGCCCCTAGCACCGGCTTAAGCAGAATTCAACATTTAACACGAAAATGGTGAAATTTTGAATTTAAAAACATCCGCAGATGTGTTCATACGGCGGTTAACATGGAACATTCAATGTGACACAGTAGTGCCATTCCATGAAAAGCGGCGTATGGTCCCCAAGTAAAAAAAATGCTTGTGCCCTAAACCAGAAAACAATAGGCGGAACTAAATAAAAAATATATAAATATATAAAAGCTTGTAAGCATGAACTTCGTCTACACAGCACTTTCCAAATCATTTCAAAAATTGCTGTTAAAAGATGTATCACAATAGATAAATCGCGATGTTTCCGACAATGTAATACTGATGTGTTTTGTCCTGCAAAAAGAGAAAAGAAAAAATTATTTCCATTTGACTGAAATGCATAATAAATAAATATTAAATAAATAGATTTAAAGCATGAAATTTAAAATAGGCCCGAAGTGTTAAACTGTTGCATGTGAATGTTTTTTTTACAAAATGAATCAATCTATTCCGCAGTGAATCGTGTGTGTTATTCAAGTCAAATAAATACTAAAACCCTAAAAATCATTGGCAGACATACTACATTTTTTCCTGGCTTTCAGGAAATAAGTACCAATGTACTGTTAACAAATCTGAAAAAAGTGTGATCCATCGGAAGCATTAATCACAAAATACATGAAAATGTAGTTTTATCGAAGTGTAATTAGACTGATGTACAAAAATACAAAAGCTCTCTAAATTCACATAATTAACTACATTAAGTAATTTCTTTAATTTACCTGATAGCAAAAACAAAGACAAATACCAAGACATTTGTTTTAATGATTACATTCATTCAAGCCTTTTTTTCCAAAACAAGTATTAATATGTTTTCTTTGGGACAGCCATAAACAGGAACAGTAAAGGCTGATCTTAATGAAATTCTAAAATCTGCTGATATTTTCATTTACTCCATTTGTGTTTGCAAACATATGTTTTGACAACTGCTGGCTAATGTTTGGGAGTTAAAACTGGACAGAGATAATTAAGACGGTACACAAACAGTATATTTAATTGAAATAAGTGGTAGTTATGAAAAATGTTTTAATGTTTATTCATTTTTGTTTTCTGTAGAAATGCTTAGATTATACCGGTAACATTACTGGGATCCTAAATTAAGGCAGGCCTTTTTTAATTTGTGTTCTTCTTATTCTGGTAGAACCTTTCAAAGGGTGACTGAAAAAAGACTCATCTTTTATCTGTAAATAAAATAATAAGAGCCGGTGTGGTAAATTCATGAAAATATTTATTTTGATAAATATGTAAATGATTATTCTACAAGGAAAGTGAGGGTGCTAAATGAAATTCAATTTCTTTATTGTTTTGTAAATCAGTGTTAAGAGGTTTTTTGTATAAGTAATGAAACACATTATTTTCACAATTGTGTTTTATTGATTTAAATGAACAATATAGAACTATATTTAGGGTAACTTAGGGTACTTCGACAATACTGAATGTTTATCATAACTAGTTGAAATTACAAAAACAAAATAATTGTCAGTACTAACATACTGTAATAGAGTTATGTAACTATGGTATGCATGTAAATTGTGAATGGCTGCCTTTTATAGGTGAATTTCAACCATAAATATTGTCTAATAAAGACATAATTACTTACACACGATATGACATTCATTGTACACTTTTTACTAGTGAGATGACTTTGGTAAAATGGTTATGAAAAATACACAGTATGTGAAATTATTTATTTATACTGCATTCAGAATTATATCAACGAGTCCATGATATTTTTCCGCAATTAGATAAAATAGTAATGCCACAATTTAATTATAAATCTGTAATAAAAGTTTTGTTTTAGTTTTATGTGTGGCGTATCATGTTATAACTTTAAGAAAGCATGACTTTATTCGATACTTTCACTATTTATTTATGACGTTTGATGCATAATTTCTATTTTGTCAGATTTTTTATATCATTTCTTTTACAGATGCCCGTTAGCGGAGTGTAGGGCAGTAGTATATGTATTTTCTTCTATTAAGATGTTAAGTTTTGGAAACTGAAATTAATCGGAGAATGTTTCTTGAAACATAAAATATTTTTTCAATTGGAAAGGAAATATATAAAATAAGACCCATTTTCAGACGTTGCTTTTATTCCTTTAATCAATGTTAATATGTTGTCTTTATTTTACACATACTTCAACAAAAATTATTGTTGTCTTGTTTTTGGTATCAATCCTCACGTTGTATCACTACACTCCTCTCCTTTTTGTCTTTGGCAAAAGTCATCCGATGTTTGGCAATATCGGAGTCACCAATGGTAAATGTATTCCCTAGGGAACGAGGTGCTGGTATAGTTTTTGCATGCGTTGATGCTGAAATTGAAAACATAATATTCACACAGACACTTATCGGGTTTTAACCTTTGTTTGCCCAAATATAATTTATTTCTATATTGACTCATATTTGTTTCCTATGGATTTTTATAGCATTTATTTAATACTACAAAAAATAAGTAACTTTAAAGCTGCAATCTATATGAACATTTTTATCTTGTTAGTAAACCATTAAAACGCCCACTGCCACAAAAATAACTTTTTATACTATTTAATCAATTAATAATATGTTCTATATCAAGTTAACATTAAGGAAAAATGGAGTCTCAGAAAAAAACAGCACAATGAAACGAAAAGGTTCTTACTAGATGTAGTCAATGTAAGTTGTGTAAGCAAAAATATCACAAATGAAATACCAAGATACAAACATGTTTTTAAAGTTTAAAATAATTATTTTACATTTTTCTAGTCCAGATATAGCAATACAATGTACCATTTTATCGAGAAAATGAAAATTAAATAATCATAAATTTATAAATACATTAGCAAATGTTTTATTTTTTTAAATTTCAATATATGTACATACAATTCAATTAAAGTTTTAAATATTCATATCAAAAATAACATGATTTTAAATTAATTATCTTCGTCATTATCAAATCATCGCGTAAAGCATGAAAATATGAAAATGCTTTTATTTGTCTCTCTCACAGAAGGAACGGTTCTAGCAAGGAGAGGTCCCTCGAGATCAGAACAATTAATGAAGAAAAGAAAACAACAAGAAAACGCTGATATAAATTATTCAATCTAACACTTCACATAAATAAAGAGTCCAGAATTACTAGATGAAATAAAAAAAATATACATAAATTACTTACAAATGGAATTCGCAGCTATGGAAAAGAGAAGAAAAGCTGTAATCGTTATGAACATTATGTCTCTAGTTAGTAAACCGTTAAAATGCCGACTGCCACAAAATTAACATTATTAATCAACAGTATGTTCTATATCAAATTAAATTAATTAATTGTGTCGTGCTAAAACAAAACACGCAATTTAAATTGAATTTCAATTCAAATGAAGAAAACCATGTGTTGTCCTGTACACAGCTGTTTAGCAAAAGTGTTTTAAGAACTACGTTAAAGGTTCATATCAATTTGATTAAAATAACTCATATAACGCTTCGCTACTAGGAACTGACATCCACCCATAGGAAGTCACCTTCTTGTGGTCTTTCAAACAACCAATCATTGACGAGCTTTCATTATT